TGTCACAAAATGTCCTTTTTACCACATACTGTAAGACATTACAGTTATATACAGAAGCTGAGAGTTTTTCACGCTAAAATGATAAGCACTTACTGTAGGAATCGCGTGTTTATCATAGCATTCACAGCTCTGTCACTGAAGCATGCATATGTTAACGCATACATACATACAACCTCCGCTCCCACACTCACTAACGCGGTGCCAGAAACTCACTGCCTGACGTGTTGCAGCTTCGCAAGTGTCCAGAGGGTTGATAGATAAACATACTTTATTGTTCCCAGGCTGGGAAATTACAGGAGAACATGTCAAGGCACAATTCAGAGCAAGACAGAGAAGTAAAAAAAAAAAAGGAATGGAAAGAAACTGAATCCTGGTAGGACAAGGCAGTGGGGAGCAACACATTTGCAGATTGTCCTGTTAGCAGTGAAACAATGGTACAGTAAATTAAATCAGTGATTAAATCAACTGAGACTCTTTGTTTAACACCTTTGTGGGTCATATGTTATAAGGCTTCACTCCATAGTGCTGTTTTTATTTATATAAATATATATATAATTATAAGGCTGTCAACATCGACACATTCATCAAGTTAATTGATTTGTAAAATGAATCTGATTAAAACATTTCACCAATTTAAAGTCCAGGCAGAATGACACACACAGTGTATCCCATAGGTGTCTTGACATTCTTCTCTATGGATTAATAATTGGATTAGTCACAAAAACCACAAACTCCCGTTGCTAGTTGTCAGTTTTGGTCAAATTTGTCATGATTAATGGTGATTAAATACTATCAAGCGTGATCCATTTGTCCATCATTGATGGAGAATCAGCTCCATTCAGGGGTTTGCACATCCATTGTTTGTAAATTCAGAATACTAGCTCCAGCTTTGCCTCCGTGGAACACTGTCCATTTCTATTTCTTAACTCTCTCAACATGTCTAGTCAAAATGTAATGTTTGTATATTTAGGCAGGTTTTCATCTCTCACCTATCTTCCTGGAGGTGGAGCTGTTCTGCTTCACCAGCTGCTTTATCCACAGTGTTGGTGCTGTGATCTCTGCAATGATTTGAGCACGTTTTAACACATTATCATAACAATCCTTCGCCACAGTCAACTTCACTTAACCTTGATTTCAGACAAAGTCAGTGCAGCCAGTTTTCATCCACAAAACCAACAATAAATTGCATAAAATTTCCTATTGTTTAGAAAAAAATCCCAAGTTATCCTTGACGTGAAGAATTTCCATGAGATAATATGGTGTGCTCCTAAAAACTGTCATCTTAAATTTCAGTGTGAGATTTATAAAACATAGCTGTTTCTTTCAAAACGTCATCCAACAGTCTTGGATGATGATTTGGAACTTAGAATTATACAGAGGATAAATTAGATCATGTCAGAGAGCCAGGTTTGAACCTAATGGCTAAAACAAATGTAGTTGTTGGTGAAGCTAAAATAAGAAGGAGAAAGAGTCGTACCGTCGCCCTCTGGAGGGACGTGAGTCTCCATGGTGGGCGTTGGCTTGGAGCCATCATCTGGGTTGAGGGTGAGAAAGAAACGGAAGGAAACTACCATTATTGAGGTTAATACAATCTACTCTCCAGAACTGTTGAATGGTTGGGATTTGCACATTGCCCGGCCAAGACAGATAGAAGAGGAGAGAAGAAGAAGAGATAAAGGCAGAATGACACAGAAACACAGGACAACCACACACACACACACACACACACACACACACACACACGTACGGCTCAACACCTTACACTCAGCACATTGGTAACTCACACAGTAACAGTCCACAGTGACAGCTTCAGCTACGTTCTTCTACTCAGACGTCATACACACAGTTTTGTCGGTTCGCATTCATTACTGTAATTACGCACAAGTGTTTTGCATTGGCTCTTCAATTAGCACACGTGCACTCTCCTCTCCTCTTTGGTTTTGGTTTTGCTATGTCTATGAACGAACTAATAAATGGAAAGTAGGTCAGATTCATTTTCATGGTCTTTTTGTCTTATGTCCCAAGTGAAACAGTTTCCAACAATTATTTAGTAGAAACTATTCCACTATTGATCTATTATTTTTTATTCTCATTTTTGTTGGTATGAAAGTAAGTGTGACTGGTCTTTATATGTGGCTGTGCGGTGGACTGTTGAACTACCCCCCCCCCATTGATGGCTGGGAATGGCTCAAGTGCCCTCCCCCCGAGCCCCCCACACTTCAGTAGAATAAGTGGTAGATAATGGATGGACAAATTTATTTTAGTTTTAATGTTGAGTCAATAGGTGTTCTGTGACTTCAGGCTATAAAATGAATTACCTGAACCTTCAGAATACTGTAGGTCACAGATATTCAGATCCAATGTCACTCCTGCTGGTCAGTGCATTAATCTTTAACACATGATGCGGTGAATATGCGCTACCTAGAATACTCACCCACGTGCAGATTTGTCGCATCTGGAAAACCCCTTTGGAAATAATTGAATTAAGGAAACCACAAGAAAAAAGCTTTGATTGGAGTCATTCTACAATCACTAACGCAGTTCCGTAAATCAGATGAAATGTCAGTATGTTGGAACACTTGAGGTCAAACTGACCCAGAGCAGCAGACTAATAAAAGCCAGTAGTTACAGGCTGGTCTCAGAAGACTATAAAACTGTACCCAAGTAGGCTGGCGTGCCAGGGGTTGTTTTTTTTACTACCTCCTGCAGCGCCAACTAATTTTACAAAATTATCTGGTACATTCGCACATAAAAAGCTGAGACACTTAAAACGGTTTAGGGACCCCTGAGACTCATTGTCATTGTGTCAGTAGTGGGCGCTGCGTTTAATGCACTACTGGAACCTGCATTTTAGTCAAATAAATATAGAGTGCTGTACATTTAAAATCTATAGGTCATATGTCAATCTTTGGTGATTTTAGTGCTTTAGACACAGCTCAGCTTTGACTGCTGTCTCAATAGTCTGACAAGAACCCAGTCATCAAAGGTCAGATTATTACATGCTGAAAAGTTCTAGAGCACCAAATTGATTTAATGTTTTCTCTGTGATATCTACTTTATCTACACCAATCAGAAAAAAAAAATCTTCTCTAGGTTTGTTCTGAACAGATATTTCAAGATCGAAGTTAAATATAATTTCCATGCAAACAGAAACTCATTCATGCATGCACACAAAACATGCAGTAGATCTCAGCTCACCTTTTCTGCCAGTATTTGGTGGCCCTGCTGGTTTATCTGTTACTGACGCTGTAAACAAACGAACAAAAAAAAACAAAACAACAAAGAACACAACAAGCGTTTTGGACAACCAATGATTTCATTTTGAAAAACAGTTAAAGGTTTATGAGCCTCTGTTTATTAGAATAAAATGGTCTTGATACCAGACACACAGACTCAAGGCATCATTCCTGCAAATATTCCATTTCTCTGATGACACCTCACCTACAGGTTAGGTTCTAGGTTTGATGAGAACATTCTGTTAGTGCTAAAGAACCACACATGGAATCGGTTTTCATCTGCATAGGGCTAACTGTTTTAAATCTGTGGGGATTTTGCCAAATGTTGACAAAGAATATTTAAAGACTATGTTTGCCTTTTTGGTGCATGCAGTAGTTCATGACATGCATGGATGCAAAGAGGTGAGAAACAAAGTTAGACAGTGCAGCCTGTTACAACAGAGGAAATATTTAATACAGGCAACTAGAAAGAAATTTACTACCTGACAATCCACTTGTCGCAGCATGAGTTCCCATAAATTCATGGAAGTTTCCTGCAAATGTATGTGAGATGATTGATTTGGGTCATAGTGTACAGGGGCATGTCAGGAGCACGTCAGTAAAAAGGTGGGGTTGGTGTGTGTTCGGAGGTAGCGGCTGCAGGTCGGGGGTATCGTGCCCAGATTCTGGTTCCACGTGTCATACATACCTTTGCAAGAAACAATGAAGATATCGGATCTTATGCAGGACAGACGGGAGCAAAACGCCGTTCCGCAAATTCCAGATCACATATTTAAGCAGTATTCTGACTAATGCATCGCTGGTGTTGACGTTTCTGTCAACCAGTAGAACCTCTCTGTGGCTTTGTTGGCACCACAATCAGCTGTCAATCACCAGAATTGGTTCAGACCATTGGAAAGAATCTTATTTTGCTATAGTTGCATGACCAAAACAAATCAACCCAACTACCCTTCAGTCATTAAAACACTGCGCACTTTGTCTGACAAGCAACACAAACAGTCACAAAAGATTTCAACAACATGACGTGTGTTAAAAATATTGTTGTGTCACTTTCCTGGCCGTCGACTCACTCTGAAGGTCTGAAGGAAATAACGACTGTACTGTTTTACCTGTGCAGTCTTACACCACTGAGCATATTTTTCAGAGCAGAGGTGCAACCTTTCTCAACAAAGATTTTTGAGTTCCACAGTCTTACAATGGAACATGTGTAGCTGCAGTAGGTGTACGGACAAGCGGCACATTGGCAAAGACACGCCTGTCTGCAACAGTACACGCTAACAGACTGGTTTCAGCAGGTTTTTATGTGAGGGATCACAGACTACAGGATTGTCAAACCAACTCAGGCCGACTGAACACAAGTAATACTCGTGCAAACTCTTGTGAGATCTGCACTGTAGCCAACATTACATAGACACTGATACTGCTCCCACTGCTGCATCAGTTTCTCCTTCATTTCTTTGGTCCAGGTTTGGTTTTCTCCCACTTTCTCTGTCCACAATCATTGTTTTATTATTATCACTGCTTTCTGACAATGTTCTCCCACTTTGTTTTTCACTGGTTTGCATCTTTTATAGATTTGGTTGAAAAACTCGTTGTGTTTCCTCGGCTTTAAGCTGAAGGATAATTTCTCTACCTGCTGAGACATAATTGCACCTCCTGTAGTTACCTAGTATAGTTAACAAGCTTGACAACCAGCCTGACTCCCACCTAGTCAAAGATCGTTCAAAACTTCAAAACCTTCAAAATGACTTAAAGTATTACACAGCAGTTAGTCTTCAGTTCCTAACTAGGAATTCATTTTGTGGTTTCCTCTTGTGACACACGTATCCTTCAAGAACTCTGCTGACGGTGCGGCAGCTGCTAGTTGTAGCCATACTAGTGATTAGTGTAACAAGTGCAGCAAAAAGTGTAAGTGTAAGAGTGAGGCCAAAGGAAAGATAAATATAGTAAAGTAGGACAGAGAGAGTGAAAGAGAGGAGGAAGCCTCTGGCCATCTGCTCAGCAGCCTCAGAAGGGCATGCGACCGTTCTCACCACACTCCCCGCACAAAATGTGCACCATATGTTGCAGTGACTGTGCAATCTAATTCTGGCAAACAATCCTGGTGTATTAACTTCAGAGGGAAAATGATGGTGATTACCATAAAGTGTTCCCATCCAAGATGAGTGTACAGAGGCACCAGTCTGCTGAGAGCACTTAGACCAGCAGAGGGAGGGACGGGAGGGCAGGTGGAATAAGAGGCCCCTGGATGTATGGCAATTAACCGTCTTGTTGACCTTGCACCTGCTGTATTATTCAACATGTGTCCATACTGAAGCAGGGCAGAGCGTCTCTGCACCGTTACCCTTTCATTATCACAGTCGGGGTTCTTTAGAAGTCATTTATTTTATTTGATACTTTGCTCAGCTGAAGTCCTGGGACAGACTAAACCATTTACTCTTAATCCGGTTGTTGATAGGAAACTGAAGCATTAAAGTACTTCCAGTTGTTTTAATAAACTCTGGCTCTGTTTAAAGATTGTGCTGCTTCTCAATTCAAATATCTGAGCTCTGAACTCCAAACTTTCTGTTTTGCTCTTTGAGTACCTGAACACACTGGGGTCCTGTTTTGCACAGAGGAACCACTCACTGGCTTGCCGTCACTGGTGACACACCAGCAGTATCCCGTCAGAGTGTGACACTGGACCTGCAGAGTCAGAAACAGTCACAAAAAGCGTCAGAGGTGTGGACGTCTGTAGAGTAAGGGCTGAAACAGGTTGAAGTGGACACGTTGTTCTGCTTTAGTGTATCTAATATGGTTCCTTGACGTCTAAATGAAATGTTTGTGGCAAATGATTGAGGCCAGCTTTATTCTTCCAGTTTCACAGCCCTGGTTTCTGGGACTTTACCTTTAAATGCTAATGAACCACTGCAGGTTCCACCTGAGTGCTGTGTCCAACCATATACTGGATCTGTTTGTTAAGTATGTCACTTATGGCTGCACAATTGTGGCCAAAAATGATAATCGCAATTATTCAACTCAAGTTAGGTAAAACATACTTTTACACTATGTGAACAAGGCTTTCAATACAAGATACAACTTTAAATAAAAATAGATAATAAAATTAGGGGAACAGTAGCTTTCCCAGTTTTTCCTCGCTGACTATTGGTTAAGAAGGTACTTGCCAAATTCATGCTTATGATTAAAATCTGATTAATTGTTCAGCTCTATTCTACATTACTTTGAAATAGTAACATTGAAGTACAGCTTATGTGATGTACGTGACAATCCTTCAGTTGTGAGTTGAGCAAACGTCAGATTCTTGCACAGTTATATTATTGGAACAGCTTATCCTGAGGTACAATTTTAGATTTTGACAGATAATAAAACCCTCCACTGAGTTTTTGAACTGGGACTTTATGAGTAGGAGACACTCCAGGGATGCTAATATGTGTAGCCGAAACCCTGACAGAGTAAATTTGGTATAATGTGTCCCCTTAAAGTCAGTGAAGTTGTGATTAGTGACTGGAGATGAGTCCACAGAGACAGACAGAATGTGGAAAAACACAAAGAAAAATGAATGTGTAGTGTTACACAGACAGACCTGGGCAAAAGTCCCATCCTCATTGCATTCTGGGACAAACATGGACTCGTGAGGTCTCTTGGCTTGTTCCAGAGCCTGGTTCCTCTCAGCACGACACTTGGACTGACCAACATCTGTAATATATTGACAGGACAGTCTGTTCTCACAACACTGCATATAATTCCAGCACTCCTGTTGTGTTTTTTTTTTTTCTTCCTACTTAGAACGCCTGTTCTTTGTCAACACCACCTCTGTTCACACCTGGGAGCTGACCAGTACATCGACAATTTACTACTATTGGCCTCTACACCCTGTCTGACGTTCAGATATCTTCAGGGCACGTTTTAAGAGTCGCACTGAGAGGCAGGAGTATTTATTCTTTTTTTTGTTTTTGTTTTACTTTTTCCATTGAGTTTTGTCTTGCAATTATTTAACCACAACTTTGCTGCGTTTTTTCTTTCCACATGACCCTGAGTCACGATGATCATTTGTATTAATGTGAAGACCTGGGTCTGATATTTGACCACTGGATTCACCTCATCTTTATATTTTTAAAAAATGTGTTTTGTTACCACTAAGAACTACCCTCCTTGTCTAATGACACTAACACAGTCCTATTGGCTGATGACAATGGCCCAAGTCTTCACAAATATTTTGTTTTTATTACCACTTGTTTTACCCAAATCCTTTCTTTTGGAAACCAAGTATAGGTTTAATGAAAGAAAAGAACTTTTAACAAGACTTTGGCAAAGCATTACACTGAGTGATGTTTCTTGATCTTTGAATAGCCCTAACCCTAACCTCAGCTTCAAACCTGGATTGAATAATGACCTCTGCAGATACACCAAGAACAGAGAGAGCTAACAAAAAAGCTAAAACGACACGTTCCTCAGAAAATTGTTCTTCCACTAACCACTACTGATGCCAGAGCTGTGCTGTGAGCAATGCTTTGTTAGGTCTGAACAGAATTGTGTATGGTATTTTTGAAATGTCAGTGGAAAACTGTGCTGGTGTTTCTTCAGCTCTGATGAGCCAAAGCTGCTCTCAGGAGACGAACGAACCAAGTGACTGAGAAGGTCAAAAAATGAAGTGGGCTCCACAGTAACCAACATCTGGCTCAGACTCCCAGCAGCCACTGCAGTATTTATTACAGCCACAGCTCTTATGGAGCTGAGCGTCACGTTCGACTGTACATGTGTACACATTCACACCAGGAGGCTGACCAGAAAACCACAGTCCTTCACATTTGGCAAACTGGCTCCATGGATAAATAAAAGGTTAAAATAAAATAATCAGTGGACCTGAGGGGAGGCAGACATGTCGTCTCCTTCAGAGTAAAAGACGGAGTCAGCAAGATTTTGATTGTGATGTTAATAATGTGGGAAACAGACAGAGTAAGCATGTTTCTATTTTGTATTCAATTCAGTTTACCTGAAAATGTAAAAACAAATTTAAAAAAGCACAATGATTAAAAGCATCAACTTTAAAAAAGCACAATGATTAAAAGCATTGTGGTTAATTAGTTTAATTTTCACTTGCAACTGACAGTAGATGTGAATGCGAGTGTAAAAGGTTTTAAAAGACAATTAAAAAATGTTTTTTCACACACACTTCCCTGTCCTTTGCCCTACAGGTTCACCAGCCGGCAGTACAGTGTACTGACTGATATGTTGTTGCGTCAGGATCTGCCAATCATTTTAAAGTGCTGGATGGACGACTGACTTGCACAACATGTTCTCTTACATGTATTTTGTCCTGTATCTGCCGACCTAATTCTCTTTGCTCACTGTTCTCTCGACAGATTACAGTGTCATCAGCAAACATGATGGTGCATGGATCCTCCAATTGCACTGTTTGGCTGTTTTGATACATTTCCTGCACCACCCTCACATACTTCTCTGCCACTACTGACATTTCTATGCAGTGCAGGAGTCACTCCGTCTTTATAGCCAAAACCATATCTGTCATACTCACAGTAAACCAAAATGCGTCTCACTGATGTAAACATTTTGCCTTCGGTTTCTTCAGTACTTCACAGTAAGGTCTTGGTGAGGCTGGTCAAACTTGTCCATCTGTTAATACACCCTGTATGTTGTTAAAGATGAAGAGGATTCCTGTCTTTTTTCTCTTCTTTCACATTAATCAACTACTTAAAGTGAATCTTTTTTGTCCATCTTACTGCAAGGGAAAAACTGAACGACATGTCTGCTTGTTGGAAAACGTTTTGATTTTCTTGCAATGATGTCTAAATATTGGGTTTAATTCTAAAACAGGATACAGGAAGGAGAATCACACCAGCCTCTGACATTTTTATCAAAGCAGTTGTTAATTAGGTTACTCGATAAGTGCTTGTGGGGTTTGGTCACAACAAGACAGGTTCTGCGGAAACTGAATTAGATTCATCTGTCTTTTTCTCAGACAACCACGATGCCATAAAACAAAACCACGTGTAGCCATACACAAGGAACGAATCTGGTCAGGATTGTACTAATGAACAAAACAGGGCTGATAAAAGCAGGGGGAAAATCTCGAGTGCCAACCTTGACTCTGAACCTATCAATCTCTGTTCCTGTTGAGTGACCGGCATCTCTGGACTGAAGAAGTCTGTGATCCTGGTCTGTAAAAGCTTACATGCCTGCAGTCAGGCGGAAAATGAAAGACATCTTCTTGTTCAGTTCCACTTGTCCACAAGCATTCTGAAATGTTTTCATCTTCAAACTAAAGCATCACAAACAAATACATTTTTGTGTACTTTTCACCACAAATACTGTGTGTAGCGCCACAAAGAAAACACAAGTCAGAGTAGTCAGAATAGGACATCAGTTACCTTTCACCTCCTGGTCTCTTCCCTCAGCAGGTGATGTTGGTGCTGGGGCCACAGCAAACTGGTCAATTTTTACCCAGTTTTTTCCTAAGCAGAACAACAAGAATAAACATTCTGTTCATCTCACAGAATGCCGGTTCACTGCATCCTCACCAATTTCTTATTGCATCACAGAGGTTGGTGTTTTAGCCCAGTCCTGTTCTTACCTCGACATCGGCCGCGGTGTTCCAGTGTGAGTGCTTTATCTTTGCAACGCGCCCTCTGCAGCTCACAGCTGGTCTCGTAGCTCCGTCCGTCTGAGCCGCACACAGGTTTGCCCTGCGTCCGTGAGCAGATGACCCCACAGTGAGTGTCCCTGTCACCGATTAACCACTGCAACGAGAATCAAAGGTGTTGACCTCAAACTTTAGGTTTCACATCACATCTTCTTGACTCTGCTCCTGCTTTCTGTCGGCAGAAAGCAGGAGCAGTCCAGGGTCTTGGGACATTTAAAAATCTCAGTTTGGACCAGCCCAACACAAGTTTGTTATTTTGCCATGTAGCCACAGTGGCAATAAATGACCCACAGTGGCAGGATCTTTTGCTCCTGGAGTTTGTTATTCTATTACAGGCTCTGGTCAGTATCTCTGTCTGCCCATCAGAATAACTGGAAGTGACAAAAAACTGTAAAACTTAATCCAAATCCTAATTGCAGTGATGAAAATGAGTCACAGGTCAGACTATGATCCAATTACAGTCTTCTTTTTCATGTTGCTGCCACCTAACAGTGTCTGACAGCTATGGCAGTCAAGAACATTTATGACTTAATCCAGTCATTTAATCTACAGTAAAACTACACCCAGGAAATCCCTCTGTAAAGATATTACCAGCTGCTAGTTTTATATTTCATGGGGCCAAAGAAAATTTTCTCGTTTCAACACTAATTTTCTTCATGTGACGAGTGAGAGCTGCCTACTCTGGCTTTCAAAATACTTTTACAGATGAAATTGAGGTTGGCTAAAGTAAAAATCACCAAGGTATTCAGTTTTTGCAGCGACTAAATTTCCTCTTATGTTAACATAGTTATCTAAATATGTTTTACATAAATAAAAACAAACTGGAGATAAGTTGTCCAGAAGTCTCTAAAACTATGCTCAAATATCACTAGGTCAAATTCAGTGATGCCCAAAGTGGGGGGCATTCAACTTTTGCCAGGGGGCTGAGAGAAATATATTGGAGAGTTAAAGCAATGTGTGGGTGGCTCCACAGTACCTCCATCTAGAAAGTTGTGATCCTCATGGTTCATGGTGAAAACTTGTACCCAATGATTCTTCTGTATGTACTTCATTTTTCTTTTCTTTTTTCCCCAGATACTGTCATTTCACTGTTACCCAACCAGGACAAAGGAGTTCCAGCCGAGGTAGGGGTTTTCTCTGAATTCACACAACTTCTTTATCCTTTATATACATATGTCCTCTAAATCACCCTCATCATCTGTATGATGAACATTATTAGTAAGTGTCCTGACTGCAGGGTCACATATTTGTCTTTGTCTCCTGTAAACAGATGTAAATTCTTTAAAAAAGACTGCTGGCTGCTTTGAAATGTTGATACTTCCCTTAAATTAATAAAAAAAAACAACATCCAGCAACATCTGCCTTGGCTTGTACGATGTGGTAAGAGGAAATTTAAACAAAAGTGGAAAAAAAAATTTGGGACACGAGTCAGACACGCTTCGCTTCAGCAGCACGTCCAGAGCGAGGCAGACGGTTTGAAGTGATTTTAACCTTGGCATCGAGCACCTTCTGTCAGACGGCCCATCATGATTTAGTGGAACCAAAAGTTGCTCTCCTGGCCGCGGTGTCGGATAAAAGTCGTAATTTATTGGTCAGAAACAATTACAATACATCTCTACTGTAGAGGTATAACTGTTTATTCCATCACACAGACTGTGCTGCCAGTTTAAACACAGGTATGATCAAATAAAGCCCCAGTTACTCTTTTCTTCCACCATAAGTGGATTAAAAAAAGGTAGACTCCACTGAGCCACGAGGCCAAGAATGAAAAGCGGTTGTTTATGTGATGAACTGTTAAATTGCTTTAAACAAAAGAAAATATTCCAAAGAAAGCCATAAAAGTGAGTTATAGTGGGCTGTCCAGCGCCTCCTCCAGGTGAAGAGCCACAGAGTCTGTCCGTTGCCCACAGACCCATCACTGACTCACAGACCTAATGGATGCTGCTCTCCTGCATCCGCTGATGTAATCCAGCTTTAAATCACAGATTTTTGGGACGGCATTGTCTGGTAAATGGAAATAAACGCTCCGTAGCGAGGCTCCCACATGTGGTCATTACTCAGTCGCTGCAGTGACCCACCCACAGACTCCTCTCCTATAAAGGTGAAACCTGAGACTCTGGAAACAACAGCAGATATTTTCTACTTGAATTGAAACAACCTTTTAGATAAACAGTTTTACTGTAAAAATGTCTGACTTTTATACATTTATTGTATACCCGCAAAAAGAACACCAGTTTGCTGGTTCAATTCCCGTTCTTTTTGTTGTTTTGGAACCTTCAGGAATCTCTTCCTTTGTTATAATTTCACAACTGGATCGGATTTCGAGTGTGATCTAAAACTCCCAGTTATTCTTTTTATGAAAATTAAAAAACAAATCATTGTCAAGTGGATGATAGTTAACAAAGAAAATTGTCATAGACAACAGCATCTTGACTCTGTGATTGACAGCTGAAACTGTCCAATAGAGGCCTAGGTGCATGTGACAGCTGCTCAGATCAGCGTAGGTCGTTCTAACCTGGTTTCTCTTACACGTCAAAGTCTTCTTATTTTTTATACGATCTAAGATTTATACAAATGTCACTCTGAAACCATCGGAGCCCATTGGACTCTCTGTCTGATGGTACCAGTTGTCAGAGTTGACCCAGGGAGTTGGACAAACTAATCTGAAGGTAAAGAATTTCCAAACAAAGACTCAGTTACTGTCTGACCCCAGTCTGTCTGACAGTTATCGTCAGCCGCAGCTTCAGCCCGGATGACGGACCTGGCATCATCTCCTGAGGGGAAACAGCCGCTGCTCCAGTTAAGACGATAATGGCCTGTGCTCAGACCCACCTGACATTTTATGATCAAAATAAAGCAATAACATCCAAATTAAACAGACTATCATGTGGCAGGAGCCATTACTGGACCTACTGAGGAACACAGTGCTCAGACCTGTGGGGATACATTTGATCATTAAGAATTTTGACATCGCAGTGTTACTAGCAACACATAAAATTTTAGAGTTGAACACATCATGGAGTATTGAATACAACCCCGCAGGGAATCATCTCACCCTAACAACTGCACATTGAAAGTACTGCATGTATTTTTAATAAACAAAGAGGCAGTTAATGTGATGTGAGGACATTGAGTCCTCTTCTGCCCCAAGACCCACCTCACAAGAAGTCAAAGATGAGCCGGGGGAGAGAAGGGGCGTTACACAATGGTTTGGTTCTGATATCTTCACAGGAAAACAATGAGCTCTACAGTATAATTCTCACATTTAACAAGCCAGATTCCTCCAAAACACACACACACACACACACACCTAGCCTCAAGCAAACAACCCTCACTTCTCTCTTCACTGCCCATAAAATAAGTGAAATGTAACCTCTGTTGTGCAACCATTACTGCATTAGCTTTTTTTTACTGTCATTGGCAGAGAATCTGCTGCAGTCCAGGCCACAGTGGTGGGACCGAAACAAAACTGAGTGAAGGCAGCAGAGAGGACGTCTTCCAGTCAGAGGTCAACATCGTTTGGAAGCCTAGGTGACGTCCGACTAGGACAGTGTGTCCCCTGGACATGACATACATGGTAACCACATCCAACTCTTCACTAGATACTGTATATCTGTCCAACCAGATATGTTGAGGTCACACTGCATCACAGATTGAGCTGAAGATTCCCACTATTGGCAAATTCACTGTGATCAAAACACTGTTTAGATGTTCCACCTTTTAGTCAACGTGACATAGCTGTGATTGGCTCCCATCCTTATTTCTTCCTCCAGATTACGACTACGTCAGCAGTGATCAGCCTTCATCTCTCCCCGATAATTTTGTCGTAGTACAAATACATATAAATACAACCATTGTCCTTTAGCGCTGCGTAACTTCCTATTTTGTTGACTTTTTGTTATCTTAGAAAATACTTTTATTGATTAAAGTGGACAAAATGAACAACACCAGTTACCTTCTGCCAACTTACAGTGGAAAAGCAGTGTTAAATCAAAATTTCAGATCTGCAGGAATGTGGACGTCTGGAAGTGTTTATTTATATAGTAGTTTTTATTTACAACCACTTCTCAAGATGACAGGGGAAATAAACTTTCTGAGAAGGAACAACTGCAGAAAATACAAAAACATTTAAATCAAACATTTGATCTGGGTTTATATGTGCAGGGTTTCATTATATTGGAGACACTTTGACTTAAAACACCAACAATACAGTACGGATGCCTGGTCCTAGTCTGAACCAGGCTATTATTAGTTCTCCCTACATTTGATATGATTTATGTCCCAAATACAACATGGACACAGGGACTAGAATAATAGGTGGACCGCAAGGTCGACAGGAGTAAGAGCTGCTATTTGGGTAAATGCAACACGAGCACTGAATTTATTTGCACTGTAACCAACTGTGTCGAGAGTTCATGTTCAAACTGCAATATTGAGGTTTGTCGGATGCTGACTCAGCTGGGTTTTTTTCTCTTTGGTTAAATGTGTTTTATCATTTTTATGCTAACGTACGTGTGACTCATGTTGTCTGAGTCGTCTTATTTAACACACAGTCTGTCTCAGATTCCGACATCACGACAGTTGGTACTAGGTACCGATCATGTTTTCAGTCACATCTGCCTCAGTCTAGTGCTTCGATTGTATTAATATTCATGTTGCATGCAAATTAATGGAAAGCAGTTGAAAGTTTGAAACCAAAGCAACAATAGACTTTATAGAAGACAGCGGTGGGAATTCTTTATGGAGCTCAAGCTTTGATATTCCTGTGCTGGATTTGGTTTGAGTGGAAACAACACAGAAGGAATTTTGTACAAAACTTCACAAATATTTGGACGTTGAATGTTACATTATAGTATTGTGTTCTAAAACAACAGTGAGGGAGAGAAATGGAACTGTTTGCTTTGCCAGGAAAACCAACAGTCCTACAGTGGAAGTGCTGCTCTGACATCTCCTGGTCTCACGTCTTCTGCACTTCTGCTTCTTGTTTGATGTCCGCCAAACTGAATGTGACTCTGCACATTTGGTAGTAATTGTCGATTCATCAGTCAAACATGACTGGATGTGGTCAATCACAGGCAGAGGCCACACCCAGTAGAC